TTATATTTTACAAATTTAAAATATCATGTGTTACTTATATTTCACTTTTAAAATAAGTGTGTATCAAACATCTACACAAAAATAATAGAAAAAATTACATAAGAAAAGAAAAATCAAAATATAACTAGTTATATTGAGAGCTGGAAGATAGAAAAATCAACATATTTAAATCTTTGGAGTTAATTAAATGCTGCAGTTTCTAAACTTTTATGCCAAAAATATATTAATGTCTATAGCTACAGCATTTGTAATTGAACATTTAAAAAAATGTGATTCAATATTGAAGTGTTGAGTAACTTAAAATAAAAATAGTGTAATAATATTTCATGCTCAAATAATGAAACTTATGGATAAAAACCAATATTTTAAAATAAAGATTTCTAGAGGGAACATTTTCTCCACTGGACAATTGCCATATGAAAATCCTCTTCTAATTTAGAAATAAGAAGACATGATTTTAGATATATGAAATGAAAAAGGAATTGGTTTTTGATTTATACTAAAGATCAAGGAACAATATGAAGTTTTCAAGAGGTAAAACTTTTAAATATTACAATGTATAAAATGTTTTAATATTTATATGAGCAATGTTACAAATCAATTTCTCATTAGAAGAGGTTTAATGGAATTTGAATGTATGAACAATATTCAAAAGCAAAGACATATATTAAAATAGTATTGAAATGATTTTCTTTGTGAGAGCTGAAGATTAAAGAGAAAATTTTAAATCCAAGAAGAAATGATAAAAATTTTCTTAGAATAAAATATTTCCAGTATAAATAAACTCTAGAGGGCAATAAAAGAGAGATGCTTCTGTTTATTTTAGATAAAAGTGAACATAATTAGTATAAGATCTCAGAGAAGGTAATATTTTCCATAGCATAGGCATTTACTTAATCACAAAATTTTCTACCATTTTTCTATGGTACAAGATCTCTATTATTTAGCATTTTATTCTTAATCTCTAACTCCTATTTAAGGATACTACCTAAGCCAATCAGGAAGCTACTTTATAATACAATTTCGAGATGATTCTATTTGGAAAAACAGATTGGCCTGGGTTTATGTGCCTGGTCTACCAATTGTGGAGCAAATGATAAAAAAATAGCTAACAGGATTCAATGAATCCCTTAGTAGATTGAAGATAAGTTTCATGGTATTTAATAAAGGACACAAATTAAATGAAAATGTTATGAATAAAATACCCAGTCCTAGGAAGCCTGGAACTCCATTAAAACATTAAATAAATTAAAATGTATAGATAAATCAACACTATACTGTGTACTCAGTAAGTATTTGAATTAAGAAACTGACCTGCATTAAGACTTGATTTTTGGTTTTATATAATAAATGTCCTTAATTTTTCCATTTAAATTGATTCTAATGTAGATACCACTAAAATGAATTAGATGAAACAATACAAAAAGTATGATTATCCTTTAATAGTAGGACATATATTTTCTGCATGTTAAAATTTTCATTTTCTCAGACATTTTCGTTAGCTTATGACAGGTGTCTTGTGTTAAATTAGAATTACTTCATTTGATTATTTCAAAAACTACATCTCCAACTGAATTTGTAATATCTAGGTAAAATATTATTTTGATATATTAACTATTAGAAAAGTTAACCCTGATCATGAAAGTTTTAAAAGTGTACAATTTAAGAGAATGCATACAACTTTCCCTTCATCGTTTTATAAAATCTATCTTTTGTTTTCTTAAGCTACTTTATTTACTCTGTGGTCTTTAGATATATATCATACCAAAAACTACACAAATACAAATCCTTTTTTTGCTGAAAATAGTAATGTCATACATGATATAATATTTCCTTTCCATTTTAAAATGGTGAATTCATTGATATGCATTTTTTAGTGTTGAAATCTGGTAGGCAAAACTGCAAAATCAAATTAAGTCTTGAAAACACTACTAACAATCTATTTAAGACAAATGAATGAAATATTGATATAATATTTAAATATACAAGGTCACCATTCATCTTGTTCCATAATGTGAAAGAACCCTACCTGAAGATAGCATTTTCATGAAACTGCATTTCAAAAACCACTGCCCCACTTAATTTTCTGAGATAAGCATATTTTCTTCCAGTTTTTATATTTACATATAAAGTAAATGCTGCTTTATTTCTATTCAGAAAGAAAGTAAAGGGCATCCAACTGAGAGTTCATGGATCAAGCATAAAAGATCACACATAAGTAAAGAACGTAGTCTTTTAAATTTCAGCCACACCATCTGGCTTAACTCATTGCAAAGAGAAATCAGAGCCATAAAATCATGTCACTGAAAACTCTACAAGGAAAGGGTCAACCTAGAGATAAAAAGGTTTTGCAATAATTCTTTCTTTTTAGTAAAGAAAAGCCCCCTGATTTCTGAAGTTCACAAAAGCCTTAAAAATTGAAATTTGAAAGTGGATCGAATTGTTTTGTACATTTAAAAGTGACATTAGATTAAAATAGTAAGATTAATATTATAACACCTGGATTACTATTTTAATAAAATATATAGAATATGCTTTTATGAATATTTGTTTTGTAAAACTTGAAATATGGCATTTAATGATTGGTAATATTTTCTGCTACAAGAAATGTTAATAAACTGCATAGCCTTATAAATATATTTACCAGGAGCCAGGGATTTAGTTCAGTGGTTCTGCCACTTGCCTCGCAACCGCAAGGACCCGAGTTCAATCCCCGGCACCAAAAAAAAACCAAAAAAAAAACTCATGTGTTGGGGCCCTGGGATTTAGCTCAGTGGTTTCGCGGCCTGCTGCGCAAGTGCAAGGACCTGAGTTCGATCCCCGGTACCAAAAAAAAAAAAAAAAATAAATAAATTTACCCTCATGTTTTCTTTCCAATTAATCGCCTTATAAATTAAAAATTATTGTAAATTTTCTACAGTGGATTGCCCCTGAAATGTTTAAAGTACTATCCTTGGGATTTTTTATTACTGTGAGCATCAATATACAAAGGATGGTTTGTTGGTGTTGTTGAAGTCTTGCTGATGAAACATCTGCAAAGATGTTAGTAGTCCAGGAAATTAAAATGAATTGCTCAATTTTAGTCCAGAAATCAATACAGTATATGGTCTAATACTCTTTTAGTTCCTAAATACAAGCTGTCTAATGTTACCATATTAAATTTGTAAAGTGCCTAGGAACAAAGACTACTAAAGAAGAAAGTATTTTTTAAAAACCAAAAATACAAACAAACAACAAAAAAACCCCAAATAAATGGAAAAAAAAAAAAGCTAACTATGGCAATGCTCACTGTTTTGAGCAGTTGCTGAAACACCACTGGGAATGAAATGAATTATTAACACAAGCAGTCTGAGGAAAAAGTACTCTAAGCCCACAAAATACTATTGAACATTGAAGAAGCTACATTTTCATTAATAGTCTACCCTCATAATAATCTTGTTCTAAAGAGTTTTCCTAAGTTAATGCACCAAATATTATATCTGATTTATTAAACATTATGTCTCTTAATAAAATTGGTAGATAATAAACCTAACAAGGTTAATTAAACTAGCAATAACAAATACACTGTGAGTGGAAATGGATTACAAGAAATGAGCCTGTTTATTTCTGTAGGTTTTGTGCAGTGTTTTGTGGTACAGCTTTAGATAGAATGTCCTGGTGTTTAAGCACCTGTTAAAGTAAAATATTATGTGTCTTACATATTACCTTTTTTGAACTCATGATATTCTCTGAACACCATGCTATAAAATAGTCACTCTAATAATGTAATTTAATAATGATCACATTTGCTCAGCAAGAGAATGACAATTTTTGCCTGTTCAAATTATCATTTATAAATACTAAGGATATTTTTCTTCTATCACAAAATGCAGTTGTGCATACCAAAATCATTTTACACATCAAGAGAAGCAGAGGTAATCATTAAATATACCTTGATACGGAGCACTAAATCCACGATATCGGTGATTGCTGTCTGTAACAAAATGGAGTCTGAGCCAGTTTTTGTTGCTGATAATTGGTGGTGGTATATTCATTCCAGATAACCTGAATTATGAAAGACAATGACATAAAAATTTAAAAAGCTTTTCAGCAGTAAACATTTTCACTGAATTGGGACCAAAGGTAAACCATACACATGATTTTCATATTGTCAACTATTTAAGAACAAATGAAATAGCTACTTTATACATCGTAAAATCAATCATAGAATAGTGCCCTTTCTAATATTATCTTCCTATCAGGTTGCATATACTGACAAAATCAACTGTAAAATTAAACTTCATATGAGTTTTGAATCACCCAAATTTGTTTATGTCACTGATAATATATTCATTACATGGGCAACAATGAACATAATGAGTATTGAACTAATGGTGCTGGTAATTGTGTCCCTCATGTACTTACTGTTACAAAATAGATACAAAGTATAAATTTGTCAAAGAAATTGATATTCTTATGACTGAAATCGAATAGCTATTTTCTTACATTTTTTCTTATTCACCTATTTTCAATATTTCACACTGGAGGGCAAATTTCACAATTTTTTCATAGAGCAAGCATTATTTTAAGGCAATTTCATACTACTATGAATTATAAACTACTCTGTGCTTACATGGTGTATTAGACACCTCTTCCAATGAGTAAACAGAAAATATTTATTTTGGTAGATATATTGAGTCTTAACACATTAGTCACAAGATAGCACTTAACGATCTCTTTCAAACAAACTACTTAAGGCAAAATATTGAAAGTATGTTGTTGATCATGATGAATATAAAAAGTATATTTTCCTTCCTAATCTTTTGGCAATTTCCATCAAAACAGTTTTTTCCAACTTCATTCATTAATAGAGTATCACCATCGTGTACATCCTCCATACACCTAACTATTTAAATCATAGGTGCTAAATAAACCCATGATAAAAATATCCTCAAAAACAAAGGTTCTATAGTGAAGCTAAGTTTTAGATGAAGATTTTTTTTAAATAAACAAGATATGACACATCTTTACCACTCTTCAAGGGTCAAGTTTTTCTCCCTCAGAAGGTAAAAGAGGTGATTTATTAGTTTGTGTTTGTGTTTGTGTTTGTGTTTGTCCAGGGATGGAGAAGTGTTCTTCTTTCGGGGCTTGGCAGTCTGCCACACCACAGTACCAGCAGGCTAGGGATATAGAAGATGTCACTGTGCATGTCACCAACCCATTGTGAGGATGTGTGTGGTGATGTAGGGACCCTCAATCTGACACACACCTCTTACCCCTAAAAGCCTACCTTTCTTAAAATGTTTGTGAGGTCATCACTTGGAGTGGATGACCACATGATGCTGAATGCAAACTTACCTTGTTTGTATCATGGCATCCCCTGGGTTTATAGAGAAGGTTGGATTCCAACACGAACAAGTTGGGCTACATCCTATACATTTCTCACTTCCATTCCTAGCTTGACATTTTCTCTACATTTTTCCTATATGTCCCCTATTTTGTTTTTACATAAAAGTGGCTCTATTTATTTGGCCAGGTGGCTGATTTTCTTTTTTGTATATGAATTTAGTAAATAAAGGGATGAAATTTACCTCTGTAATTTTAAAACTCAAGTTTTAAAATTTTATTTCATAACTTTCAGACAGTGTTGAGGTTATGATTACTGTTTTTGTTGGTTTATTCTGCTCAAATAATAATTCAGTGAAAAATATTTGGATTTAGTCCAGTTATATTTTCAACGGAGTAGTTCAGCTCAACCCAGATTCTGGTTTATAGTTTATATTTCTGTTCATTCCCCCGATCTGCTGAGCATGAATGTCCGTTAGGGAAAATTTAAGTTATTTTGACAGGTTATATACCTTTTAAATGCAATGATATAAGATATAAGCATGATTGTGATACAATGAAACACAGAGTTTGAAAACAGATCTTCAAAGACCAAAAAAAAGAAAGAGAATGAGTAAGAACCTTAAGAAAAGGAAGGGGAAAGAAGATGGAACAGATATTAAAAGAATAAACTTCTCTACTTTTCCAAAGACATCTAATTTCAGTACAGATTATAGAAAGGCAAGTAATAGCCTTTTGCAAACACAGCTTGCAACTTGAGATCAACTTTTGGAATGTAAGACGGTGAAATTTTAAAAAAAAGTAGAGCTGCCTAAGAAAGGGGAGAATGCACATGGGGTACAACAAACAGTGATTTAACAGAAAGAAATTAAGAAAAAACCCCAGTTTACTGCTTAGCTATGACCTGCGCTCTAAGAACCCCAGAGAATCCTTGATATGCAAGAAGTCTATGTATGTTATGTGTTTTTCCTATGTAAATATACATATGGTAAAGCTTATTTTATAAACGAAGCACTGTGAGAGATTAATTAAAAAAATAGAATGATTTACAACATGATGCAAAAACATCACGTGAATGTGACCTCTTTCAAAACATTTTTTTTGATCTTTAAGCTTTTCAAATTACTCTACAGCATCTTTTTGTCATATGTGAATTTCCAGCCTCACTCTTTTGCACTTTGCAGCCATTATTGAGTAAAATAAGAATTAGTTGAATACAAAAATGTGATACCAAGACGATCTACTTCATAGCCAAGAAATCCACTAACAAGCAGAGAGCATATATTATGTGTATACATTAGTCAAAGCGATAATTCACATCATCATCATTATGATTATATACATATATACACACACACACACACACACACATATATATGTATTCTTCTACTCTACTTACTTGTGCCAAAAAAGAATTTAACAAATCTTTGGAGTAAAGAACACATTTTAATGAAATGGCACGGTAAAAACTGATGTCACATTTCACTGAATATTCCATGCAGAAATAATGAGAATTACAGAATGTACTTTCCTGCAGTGACTCTTGGTAAGTCATACTTTTATTATTTTATATTTTATTTTAATTTGCCACTGACAATAATTAAATCATTAGCTGATATTCAAAATTAGATCCAATATTTTCTTTTCTTGTCAATCCATTAAGAAATATAATCTTCACAATATACTCTTGAAAATACTGTGAGTTAAATTTAAGAAAACTGAGAGAACCACAGGTCTTTGTCATTATTTCAGAAGCTCCTGAAACTCTTCTGAGCCTATTTTGGTTCATGAGGCTCTTGTCATCCTATCATGTCGTCCATGGCTGGTTTCTCAACCTTCTCAAAATGAACATTTGCAATAACCGGTGCCATCTTTGGTTAGTCTAAAGTTCATTAAACAAATTTTCCAATCCTCTAACATCATTCGAATGCCATCATGTATCTGCATTTCCTCATCTTCAGCACTCAGAGACCGAGTCAAACCCTTTAAAGCTGGGATTCCTCCCATCGTTAGCCCCGCAACTCCAAGGGCCTCTGTCCCACCACCTTCTCCCACTCTCCTGCACTCACCTCCCTCTTTTCCTCCCACTCGTGCTCTCTTGCTGTGCTGACTTTGCCTGTTCTGACTCCCTTCTTTCTGAAGCACTAAGATGAAATGTATTCCTGAGGCATCTTCTCGTCTCCATGGCCTTGTAAAATTAATTGTTCTGTATTCAGCTGCAATTTGTTCCACAAAATCATCTTTTCATCTTATCTTAGGTCCCATTTATTCACTTCAGTTCAAGGTTCAAATACATATAATGCATTTACTCATTCATTTTCAGGGACGCCACACTAAACTTCCTAATGGGAAGCCAGCTGTCCAATCACCTTCTCTGTCCCACTGTGCAAACATTTTTGTATATTCCTGTAACACCATTTCTTACTTTCTATCACAGTGAATTTTCAGTCTTTCCTGATATTTTACATTTTCGTGCACATTACTGAATCCCTGGTGTTTAGCACATTGAAGGCTTTATCTGGAAAAATACATGAATAGAAATTATTTGCACACATGTCCTAGCTGTATGTGTTTTTTCATTCTCTTTATAATGTATGTCATTAAGTCCATTTCATTACATTTTCAAAATTTTGACTTTTCTTTATTCACCTAAAATTCTATTTCCATTGTCTTCTTCAAATCTCATGGCTGAAGCTTATCTCTCTGTTCTCTGAATATAAAAAAAAAAAACTGGATAAAACACTTTCAGTGGCATGTCTAATTGTTTTCATTTTATTATATTATCCATACTCTAAGTGATAAGAAGTTGAAAGCAGGATTCATATTTGAATTAACAAATTCATAAGCACATTTTTAATCACAGATGATAAATGAACCTAATTAAGTGGCTTGATATTCTATTATAAATTTCTAAAGTGTGTTCTGAGCATTATGTACCATAAATATCTTGGGCCTGAGGGAGGGTTCACTGGTCAATAATTTTTTTCATTGCTCTTTGCCAACCATATACACTTTCGATAGTATTTTTATGTTTTAATTCATAATTTATTAAATTTATACAATAAACATCTTCCCATTTCTTTACTGTGCCATCATAGTAAATAGTGAGCAATGGAATTTATCCTGTAGAACTCTTTCAGAAACCATTTTTTATCCTTTATGTCTGGATAAGAATGCATTTCATAGTCTGACGAAATATCATCATCTTTTCCAAAGGAGAAAAATCACTAAACTTTGTATTATATTCTGTATGGTACTATAAGATGGAAAATTATTTTAACAACTGTGAACAACTGTGTTGTTTACTTTTCTTTCATTGCTGAGACAAAGTACCTTATACTCAAAGTTAGAGGGGAAGGGGTTTATTTGGCTTACAGTTCATAGAAGTTTCAGTCCATAATCAGCTGATTCCAAGGCAGGAATGAAAAACAGGCAGGGCCGAGCAGAAACAACATGGCACGCACAAGACAGCAAAGGTAACAAAAGAGACTTTCACTGAGTTTTCTGCCTCTTTTGTCCCATCCAGACTACCGGGATTAGGGTGATGCCAAACTAATCACTCTCATGTAGTAGTTTAGTAATCACACGCCCTTAAACCCTTAATCCCAGCATCACACATTCCAGATTCAGCTACCTCTGAAAAATAAAGTCCCATCTCATCTGCATGAGGCTTTGGGGGGACATCTAAACACAAGCCATAACAACAACTAAATTACTTC